GAAGTAACCAGCTGAAGGATGAGATGTCGGAGCTGGAGCAGACAGCTGCGCTGCAAAAGGCCCGGGTGCAGACGATGGAGAGCAGCATTGATGAGATTCTGGCGGATATTAAGAACCTGGAGGATATCCAGAGGAATCTTCCTCCAGGCTGCTACAACACAAAAGCCATTGAGTTGCCGTGAGCAAGCTCTGGAAAGGCTGCAGCACCTGCCAGGCTGAAGGCAGGAGGGCCTGGCCCAGCTGCCCTCCCCATACCTGGCAGGACTGGCTGCGTTTGGCTGTGTTTAACTGATCCTTACCCTCAAGTTCAGCGTGACAGCTGAAGTTCGCATTATCACGCTGGCCCTCGAGAGTCCCTGATTTTTCAAAGTGGTCCGTCCCTCGGTCACGGGAGGAAGGAGACACCTGATTGTGTGAAGGTGCTACTGGCTGAAGAACATTGTTCCTGCAACATTTCTTCGAGGTGCAGGTGGGGGTTGCTTGGTGTCAACCTTGGGAGCTTGCACATTTCAGAGCCTGAAGTTTGTGGCTGAGAGGTCTTCCACCCCCTGTGGATCCCCTCTCCTGGTCTGGCACACACAGAAAGACTGGAGCTTCTGTCCTTAGTTTTGACACTGCCACCACCTCTTCCTCATCTTCTCTGTGGTGTCTTCCTCGCCTTCAGTAGCTCAGGAGGCAGGGAACAAGCAGCTTGAAGAGTCAGTTAAGGGAGATGAGTTTTGAGCTGTGACACCAGTGATGCTTCACATGGCTTTCTTCTCCCAGCCTGCCCAGTCCTCACCTTGCTGGGAGTGGTGCTGGGGTGGTTTTGGAATCACAGAATCAGAAAATCATTTGGTTGAAAAAGACCTTTAAGATCACCGAGTGCAACCATAGCCTGTCCACCACTAAACCATGTTTCTACGCACCTCATCTGCCCATCTTTTAAATACCTCCAGGGATGGTGACTCCACCACTTCCCTTACATGTTCAAGCACAACCTTTCCTTCCAGGACCAGTCAGTTTGGTATCAGGCAGCTTTCTGGGTGTCCCGGTGCCCAGGGGAAGCATGGTGGTATCCCTTCTGCACAAAAACCTGGGGCCCTGCAGCTCTTGTCACAGGAACAGGAGCTCTTTCCAGGGGTCTGCAGCCACAGGCTCTCATGGCTGAGAGCCCAGTCCCATCCTGCTGGAGTGCCAGTGCCCTGATTTGATTGGTTTAAAAATACTGAAGGTGTCTTGAATGCGTCTCCACCTCTAGTTTGGTGCTGCCTGATCCCCCCACCTCCCTCCTGTGTGGTGCTGGATGTTTCTCAGAGGCTCAAGTATGGACCACAGGGTTTCCCATGATACATCTGAGCAAAGCTTGGAAGAGCTGAAGACCACAATGCTCCCTTCACACACCCATGGCTCTCCTGTGGGTCCAGCCCCATTCTGACACCACTCCCAGCTTGCTTTAGATGCCATATCTGGGGAAAAAAGAACTAGCAGATGCTGGAAGTCAGCTCTGCTGGAGCCCCCCTGACCTGCGTGATGGTGAAAGAGGAGGTCCTGGGTGGAGAAGGACACTTTGGGAGACTTGCTCACTCCTCATTAGCTCTGATTCTCTGATAAAGCAGTTCTCATGCTTTTGCTTGATAAGGATATACCAAGTGTTATGTCTGCATTATACTTTTATTTAAGTGAGAAGTATTCCTGCCTCTGGCATGTCTTCCTTCTCCCATTGTACAGCATAGGGACAGGTATTATGGACCTGACTTTATTTTTCCATGCGTTGGGTTTCTTTGAAAGGGAGGAGATCAATAAATAATGAGTACTTTTGGCTGGATCTTGCCCACTGGGTTATTTTCTCTGGTGCCCTGTTTTGGGTGAGTTTGGCCATCGGTTCTCCCAGCAGTGCAGCTGCTTGCCCTCGTGGGATTGTTTTGAAATGACACCAATGACATCTTTGTTCCATTTTATTTTGTTTATTACATAATTTAAACATTTTGCTGATAAAGTTTTTCTTTTTTTTTTTGTCAATGACCATTTTTTTCCATATAGCAACAGAAGAAAAAAAAATAGGCTCCAAAACTTTTGACAAAGGTGAAATCGGTGGCATGACAACTTCAACTCTTCCCCCCTCCCCCCCTTACTTTTTTCCAAAAGGCATTTGAAGTTCATTTCCCTTTCAGCAAATTGCACTGTTTAAAAGTGGAGTTTCAAAGACCAAAACCCACGAGCTTCTTCCCACCCCTCACCTGCACCCTGGAAACCCTGGTCCTCACTTCCCTGACAGTCACATGGAACTTCAGGGTTGCTTTTTTTTTTTCTTCATACCCACCCAAAGACATTTTCCAAACCAGTCCCAGAGCTGAACGACGTGTTGCAAACCTCCATCCTACCCCCATTGTACTGAGAGTTTTTCTGAGCAGATGCATGAAGGCGCAGGTAAGACTAGTAAGACAGAATATATACTCATCATCCATACCACAATACTATGTCTCTAAGGCATGCTGTCCTAACCACGATGGGATGGGATGGGAAGCCAGCTGGCTTCCCCTGTGTCCCATCTCATGTACCTGAGGGAGTGAGGGAGGATCTGAGGTGGCTTTCAGACATGCTGCCTGCCTTCCTTCTCCATCTCCTTTGTTTTATTTCCCTGTGTCTTTTCCTCAGTTAAAACCCCACTGTCCTTCCTCCCTCTGCAAAGAAGCACTGCTCTCCCAGGAGGTTAAAATCCCCGTGTGTGTGTGTGTTTGAGGCTGGTTGCTACCATTGCTTTTCCTCCTCCAGCCTGGAGCTAAGAAACATGGGTGATGTCTGGCAAAGAGAGGAGGTTGCTGTCTGAAATAACTTCAGGATTGGGGTGGAGAGGGAGGAGAGACTGAGAAACTGAACACATGAGAGCAACGGGTGTCGGAGAGGAGTCTAGCTTACATACGTTGGGTGTCTCATGGATGAGATGTCCCACCATGGGCATCTGCCCAGTGTGTTAGCTAAGGGAGCTCAGTTGGTGAGAATTTCAACCTGACTGAAGACCACCATGAAGAAGAGGTGACCCTGCATGCCAAGGCCTGCATGCTCTCATCATCCTCTCTGCTCTGGTTTCTCCATGGCTCCCCAGTCTGTGGGACATGTCTGCATCTGCCTGGAGATACCAGAGCTGGCATGGAGGGGATTCAGGTGATGAATTTACAAGAGGTCCCGAACAAGCCTTGGCAAGGAAAGACCTCTTCTGGCCTTTTTGCAAGTCACATCATTTCTGTGTCTCTTGTTTTCCCTTCTGAGAAGGGCTGTGCCCTCCTCAAGAAGGTGTTAGCTGCTGCTCATAAAACCTTGCCTGCCGCAAGGAGCCTGTGGCTGTAGGCTACCTTGTTTTGTACAAAGTCACTTGCAGTTACAGAGATGCCAGCAGCATCCATCAGGACACCAAACTTAGTGCAATGTCTCATTTTTGAAGCTTCCATGAGAGCAGCTTGTGATCCTTCATAGATTTTTTTTTTTTAAGGAAAAAAATAAAAAGGTAGTTTCAGATCTTTCCCTAAAACACACTGGAAGAGCCTCAGCGTACCACTGTCCCATGCTGGGGACCAGCAGCTAGTCACAGTGCTGCCCTAGGAAAGCCACAAAGCCAATATGGGCAGCAGCCATGTTTTGGGAGAGGGTGATGGTGTGGGCTAGCCTGAGACTAGTTAGTTCAATCTGTGGGGAGTAAGCAGATGTCCAGGAGCTATAAGCAGCAGAGCTACACACAAAGTGACACAAGGTTAGGCAGAGAAAGGGAGAGGAGAAGGTGAAGTTTAAAGCAAATGTGTACCTTCTTCTCGGGCTGTGACCTTTCCCAGGGGCTGGGGCAGGTCCTTGCACCATAGGGATGCTCAGTAGAACAATGGTGTGCTTCAGCAACTCTCCTCTCTGCAGGACTTAAATAATTTTCTTTTGCTCCATGTAACCTGCCCTGGTTTTATTGTGAGCATCTCCACTAGGCTCCATCCCTCGCATCTCAGCCATGTCACAGGCAGAAGAGCAGGAGCCTGGCTCTTCCAAGGGATGTGTGAAGTAGCCACAGCTGGTTTGAGAGGTGGAGGATGTATCATGCAGTTAAACTCTTGAAGGAGAGGAGAAGAGGAGGGAGAAGTAGACAAAAATAAAGATCTGGATGCTAAAGAATGGAGGTGGACCCAACCCCCACGAAGCTCAGCCAAGTTTGGGACAAATTCTCACCAGAGACTTCTGGTTTGCTTCTTCCTCCCTTGTTTCTTTGCCTCATAAATGGCAGGTCCCTTTCTGGGCACTGTGGGCTGTCCTCTCCATCACTGGGTTGGAGTGGAGCATCATCCCAACTCCACTTGCCAAGGGCATGGCTTGGGGTGGGTTGGGTTCTCTTGCAGCCAAGAAAAGGTGAGACATGACATCTTCCCAAGTAATGCTTGACAAGGTCTCTGCCTCCCCTTCAGAAATGTCCTCTCCATGTTTTTTCAGGGCCAGGAGGAGGATTTTGTTAGCTGGGTTGTCCTACTGCTGGCCTGAGGATCTCCCCCTGCCATGGGGCACTAAGACAGTTGGGTTACAACTGACCGCTGCCGACCAGGATTCGTTTGGTCATCATGCCAAGAGGTCCAAAGGGTTTGCACTAAAACTATTTAAGAAAAAATCTCCACCTAGATTTATTGAGCTTAAGTACCGTAAGATGATGCAGAAGAGGAAGCCCCTGCTCTGAGCATGCTGGGAGGATGGACCAGGGGGACCATTTCCCAGTGACATGCTTGGAGGAGGTGTGCTACCTCCCCTTGAGCACACCAAGCACATGGCTCTTTTAGTGGTCCACCCTCCCTTCCCAGGTATGAGGGGAAGAATGGTTCCCCGAAAAAAGAGACCAAACTTCTCCCCTTGGGGCCGTGCTGTGGTTCCCTGGACACTGCTGCACTGATGGAGCGCTGGTGCCGGGGGGTGAGAGGAGACTATGGGCTGGGGAGAGAGATGGAGACATGGACTGAGAGAGAGAGAGAAAAAAGAGTGATGGAGAGCTGTCGGCAGGCGGGACATGAGGGTTGTCTCGCTGCATGGCCTCCTGCACTTAGCCGGAGGCGTTGATGTAGAGCTGGCTCTTGAGGATGTAGTCGATGACGGGCTGGCAGAGGTAATCCACAACATGTCCGTCTCCGTGCTGCAAGGCCAGTCTGGGGGTGCAGGTGGGATTGAAGGGGTCAGAGCCCATGTGGGTGGGTTGGGTGCCCTTGCAAATGGAAGGGTTGGCTGTGGGCACCCCTCTTCCCACCCCATAGCTGGAGTCCCCCTGCATCACTCACCTGCTTTTGGTGGAGCTGACGACCGACATGGGGTGGTTTGAGTCGTCCTTCACCACCAGAATGTTGTTCTGCAGGGGAAGGAGAGAGAAAAGAGCAAAGGGATGGCCTGAAAGCAGGTGTCTGCCGCATCAGCCCCCCTGCCCTGCTGGCCTCAATGGGCTGCTGCATGGTGGTCCCATTGCTCATCCCACCTAGCAGCTGAGAGCATTTGGCCTCGAGACTTCTTGTGCCCCATGGCAGAAGTACTCCCCTGGGCAAAGAGAGGCTGCAGGTACTCTCACAGTCTTCCTTGTCCACGTGTGTATTCACTTACTTTGTACTTGCGGAGTATGGAGGAGTGGTTCATGATCCGGTCGGGGTCTGCTCCATCCCGGGGCACCACCACGATCCCGAACTCCCCAACAATCACCTCCATCTAGGAGTAACCCAAAGTGGGGAGATTTTTCATAACCATCCTTTGCAAAAAAATCTGCCACTGCTTGCCACTGCCCTCCTGCACTATGAAAGCTGGGCCATGGTCTGGAGGGAGAGAACATTGAATTTGGTTTCTATCTGGACAACCTTTAGCAGAAACTTGGATTTATTGAGTCATGGTACATGGTCTGCAGTGGATGAAATAAAAAGACTCAGATTGTTAATAGATGTTTATAGATGTCAAGGTTCGGCTTTTGGGAGGACTTGTCATGGTAGAAAGAGGGTGGCAGCAGAAGAGGTTGCTGAAGAAAGACATGACCTCTGTCTCGCTGTAAGGCTTTATGAGCAGGATGGACATGCTGGTCTTGGCAGAGGTCTTGTAGGGTTGTTCTGCCCCAGGCAGAGAAAACCTGAGTTTTTGCCAAGGCTGGTGGCCAAGTTTGCCACCATGGGAGGACAGCTCCCACTGCTGTACCCATCTCAGGACAAACCAGACTCAGCTGAAAGAGCTCTGGGTCAGAAAACTCAGGCAGCAGGAGCATGTGAGGTGGTGCTGGCACTGGGTGTCCTCTCTACCTGTGCTTTGACATGCTTTTTTTGTGTCCTTTGTGCTGGGCTTTGAGACCTGCCATGTCTTGCATTTTACAGCTTTTCAGAAGAGATATCTGCCAGCTAATTGTTTTAAAAACTTAGGATTGAGGGCATGGTAATTTATTTTAGAAATGGTAGCATGGCTTAAGAAGGGAGGGATTTCTGTGTTAACCACCTGATTTCAGCAAAGAGCTGGTGGAGATCCCATAGCCAGCACTGCTCTGGTTGCCAGGAGCAGCACGTGGACACCTCTGTCTAGGGCTGGTGTCCTCCCATGAAAATATGGCTTCTTTAGGCATGGACCACAGTGTCCAGGGTGCTGGGTTTCCTGCCACAGTCCTTCACTAATCGGGGTAGGGAGCAGAGGAGGCACAGAGAGGTAAGCAGCAGGTTTTGTCCATTTTGGTTGTGGCATTAAAGGTGCTGAGATGGGCTTATGTCAACTATGAGTTGGTGTTAGGCATCGTCTGGCCAAGGAGGCAAGATGGTTTTACTTCTCGGTCTTTGTAAAGATGGGTACTTGGGTACCCTATATTGTAGGAAAAGCCTTTTATTAAGTGAAAATTATTAATTTTGCTGTAAACGTGTTTAATTTCTAATGTCAGGCCAACTTTCATAAACTTCTCCTTTTCTACTTCCATGCCTTGCTTTGCTGGGACTTGTATCTGCTTGATCTTCTTCCAAGGGATGAGGAATGGGAGCACAACCGTTGGAAACCCCTTGGGACAGGCTTACCCTGCACCCTGGGGAATGTCCTCTGCATGAGTGGTGAGTAGGAGCAGGACTTGGGTCTGTGGAAGGGGAGGATGGCTAAGTTGGATGTCTCAAGCGCAGAAAACCCTGTCCCTCAGTCTGCTCATATGTAGGGAAGGTGAGGGTTGGGTTAGCATAGAGGATGTGTTGGGGATGGTGGGCATGGCTTCTGGTGGTGACTCACATCTGCCTCATTCCAGAGACCGGGGATGCAGAAGGACTCCAGCAGGTCACTACCACAGAGCAGTAAGATGCGAAGCTCTGTAGAAAAGAAGCAGAGAAGCTCAAAAGGAAGAGCAAACGAGACAGCCTCCCCCTTCATTGCCATCCCACTGTGCTGCTCAAGGGCATCCACTTCCACAAGGACTTCCACTGCCAAAGATCCCATGGTCCTTCTTGCATCCTTGCTGGTACCAACCACCAAATATCGCCCCCTATTTTATTGCAGCTTCTCTCCTATGCTGCTGGGTATTTGTCAGCATCGTTACATGCTGTTCAACTACAGCTGTGCTCCAGCCCTGGAGGTGGGGTATCCCTGGGAAAGGAGATAATTTCTCCATGCTATAGGCATCCACTGTCACTTTGTGATCTGCTGCAGGGGCTCCAACTGCAGCGCAACAGGGAGAGCTCTGGGGATGGCCATGTTTGCTTTAGTAAAGCTGATTTTGTGGCACCAGAGATTTTTCTTGTACATCTTGGAGGACTTCCATGTCCTGCCTTTCCCCAGGCTGGGAACGATGCTTGCCTACAGCTTGCTTTGAGGGTTGGCTTTGCTGCTCAGTAAACACAGCAAGAAAGTTGAGCTGTGGGAAGGATCTTTCTGCTCCAATAGGCCCATAAGGATTAATTTATTTGCACAAATACTGGAGGAAAGCCAAAAATCCACCCAGAGGGGTGGGAAGAGCTGGGTACATGAGAAGGTGCCTCCCTAGTTGGCATTTTCAGGTGGCCAAAACCTTTGGGCACTGCAGGTGTTGATGCTAGGACAGGTGTTGTGCCAGGCTGTATGTGAACTAGCCCATGAAATAGGTCTCAAAAACACCAACAAGCTGCTGGTGAGCCACTCTCCTCATGTAGAGCCCTGGGTGATGTATGGTAGTGCCACATACATGGCAGCTTGGTGGGTCTAAAATCCCCTAAGGGCTTTAGACAAAGGGGAACAGTGGCTGCCCGGGTGGCCCAAATCCCTCCCACTCCTGAGGGCAAAGCTTGACAGGGCTGTAGGCAATGCAAGGATGTGGGTGGCACCACTGCAGTAGGGAAGGTTTCATGGCACTTGGAGTGACTGTCAAGGAATGATGCCATAGCAGGTCCATGCCAGCACTGGGAGCCTGGTCCCCACTGTTCTCTCCCTTATTTTAGGCTGTTTGCCAATGGGAATGGGCTCAGGCCAGTTTAGGACTGCTCCTGTTTCAAGCCCTCATAGGTGTTACGGAGTTGCTCACCACCACCCTTTGCTCACCACTGGATCTGTTGTGTGCCCACTCCCAAGCCATGTAATGTTGACCTGGAGGAGCTGAAGTGACACAGAGGGGGCTGCTTACTCACCGATCTCCTCATATCGCATCACTGTCCCCAAGTTGGCGTTTTCATCTGGGGAAGGCAAGCAAAAGAGAGGTGGTGGTGCCTTGCCTGGGAGAGGGACTGGGAGGAAGGCAGGGGGCTGGCTGTGAAGCCAAGGCAATACTGGGTCTTTCCTCTACTTACCCACAAAGGTGAAGCGCTCCATGGGAGGGCGAACGCAGCAAATCCGGCTCAGGCTTTCTCCCACCTTCCCCAAGATCTTTGCTAAAGGTGAAGAAGGAGGAAAATTAACCAGACACAACAATGTCCTGGCAGACTGCCGTGCATGAATGCTTTAGCCACCCTGGTCCTGCAAGATACTCCTGTGCCTGGGTGTGGGAACCAATCTCAGCATCTCCGCACCACCTCCTCTTGTGGTGTTAACTCCCAAGAGTGCTATGTTGTGCCTTGAACAGACCAACTGAACAGCTAAAATCACTGAAAAAGCAATCCCAAGATGTTAGTTTTTATGGAATTTAAGCAAATCCCCCTCATCTCCCCAGCTAACACCTCAGTGTCCCATATCCCGATGGCTAGTGTGGGATCCAGCTACGCCAGCTCTCCTGCGAGTTCGTCCCTCACATGCACCCAGTGGGTACAAGATACCCTTTCTCTTAGATCCTCTTGCTGCCTAGACATCATCCAGCTAAAGTCCAGCATGATTTCACAGCCATTTTGAGCTGTTCTTGGTTCCCTTTGCTGTGGTGGATGCTACTTCTGCTCCCCTGCCCTGGCATCACATCCCCACCCAACCCTGGGCTTGATGCATGGAGCCTGATGAGTGGACCTGACCCAAAAATAAGATGATGGAGCACCGTTCCTAATGCTCAGCAGTCCTGGCTGGGACGCAATGGGTGGGTGGCCATCCCCTCTTCCCTACCCCACTTCCACCTACCCGCAGTGGGCTTGTTGGAGACGTTGTTGTTCTGATAGATGGCCTGTGAGGACTCATTCTGAGGCTGGCCGATCACAGGGGTGATGGATGGGGTGTTGACATTGGAGAGGATGCATCCAGTCACTCTCTGCAAAGAGGGAGAGGTGTAGCTGGAACAGTGCCTTCACCCCAGCTGCCCTCTGAAAACTTTACAACCCTTGTAACAAGCTGCCGCACCCCAAGCTGAATGTTATGTTCAGTGACAGGTACATTCAGGCTCGCTTTAGGATCCCCAGTCCCATCTGACCTCACCAGATGAGCCTGGGTCTAGCAGGATCCTGTGGATAACAACTTGCAGTTAAGGCTGAGGCTGGTGGGATTAACTCTTTTGCGTGGACCCATGAGGTGGGCAAGGATGCAGCCGTGCTGCCTGCAGGCAGGCATCATGCCTGTCGCCCAGGGGTGCTCATAAATTCTTATGATAAATAAAAAACACAGCAGCTGATGAATCAGCGGCACAAAGCCAGCAGCTTACACGTTGCCCTCGGAGCAAATGCATCTGCTCCTCCATTGGTCCCTGCAGGAGAAGGAAGGCATCTCCAGAGGCTCCCAGGTGTTGACACCACGGTCACTGGATGCAGTGGACATCCCACCAGGCTGGTTAACGCTGCTTCTTTGTCTCCTGTCTGAGCTGTCCACGAGTTTGT